TCCCTTTCTGACCTTCCCAAACCCAAAACCATCCCTAATCCACCATCCTTACCCCCAAAATCCCAGGCAAAGGCGGTGCCAGGGGTGTGAGGGGGATTTTGGGGTGTTCCTGTGCCGCCCCACCCAGCACCAGGTGCTGAAGCTCCACTGCCTGTCCCTAAATCTGCCTTTTGTCAGCAAATCTCCCCTGTCTCCTTGGAAACTGGCAGTGCTCCCCATCCCGGGGTCCTCCCCAAAAGTTGTCCCCATTTTGGGGCTCCCTGGGCTGGCTGGGGCTGGGGTGGGAGCAGGGATGCTCTGGATGCTGGGGAGCACTGGGAAATGTGAATGGTGCTGGTGGGGAGCAGGCGGAGAGGGGATGGGAATATTGGGCAGGCAAATGGAGAGGGAATCAAACAAGGAGACAGAGCAGGAGCAGGAGGGGCTGGGACAAGGATGGGCAGGGAGCAGGCAGAGGTGCTGGAAATGTAATTCCAGGCAGTTCCGTTATGGTTACACTCAGGATTTCCCTCCTGTTTTTCTGCTTTTCCAGTTTTAGGGATTTTTTTCCCCCTCTGGTGGGAAATGTCACTTTGCAGAGCAGGCAGAGGATTTGCCTGTATGTGTATTTTGGGGGGCTGGGCAGGACACCTCAAATCAAACACCCTCCTAATCAGCTCTTTTCCCCTAAATCCAGCTTTCCAACACTAAATCAATGTGGTCTCCCCAGCTTCTGCCCAGATTTTATTGGATCTAGGATTGCCTACTGCAGCCTGAGTTCAGAGGAAATGAATTCTACCAGGAGATGTAAAACATTAAAAATTAAAAAGGAGTTAAAACACTCTTTACAGAATATTTTGTGTTTGCCAGCTCACCTTGGGATTTTGCCCTTTGCCCACGCATGTGCCCATTTAAATTAAACTCAGAAACGAACAGGGAGAGAAAACGTGGAAAGTACAAAAAGCCAGGGAAAAATAAGAAAAACTCGTGCCAGAGAAATGCTTTTTCTGATAAAAACAAGCACTGGCTGGAGGAGCTCATCCCTGACAGACAGGGAAATACTCAGGAAAGAAAAGTAAAAGATAAGATGGGGAAAGCTAAATGCAAAAAGAGGTTTTAAAGAGGCTTTAAAAAAAAATTAATAATCAGAAGCTCAGGAAACAAAGAGCTTTTCCAGGCAGGTGGGATGCTGTGCCCCAGTTCAGGAAGGACTGGATTTTCTTGAGCATATTTTGCTTGAATGGATTTTTTGGAGGGGGGAGAAGTGAACTTTGTTGATTTGAAACAAATCAGTGGAGAAATGAAACTTTCCACGCTGCTGCTTGGGAGATGCCAGCGGCAGGGACACGGCTGGAGCTTCCCAAACCTCCCCTGCTCGGATCCTCCTGTTCCACAAAAATAAATGAGAAAATCACCAACCGACACAGACACAGCTAAAGTGAGGCAGCACAAAAGCACAAAAGCTCTCTTTTCCCCAAATATGGTTTATTTCAGAGGCTGCTCCCTGCCCTGGGGACACCCGTGGCACTGCAGGGAGGAGCAGGTTGCTGTTGCCCGTGGAAGGGGTGGTTTGGGATGGGGATGCAGAGCCCAGGGATGGCTGGAGAGGCGCCGTGGCTGCGTCATCACCGCTCGTGGTCCGCTGTCCTGGGCACCAAGTCGTGGTGCTGGTGGCTCACAGGGTGCTGGTGACAAACCTGGGGGACAGCGGGTGACAGGGTGTGGATGGTGCTGGTGTTTATCCCAGGTCTCTCCTTTTCCAGAGATCCATTATTTATTTTGCTGCGCTAAATCCAGCCTGAGTGCAGGGCTCCAACACGGAAAGGAGAGAGGGAGAAAGAGGGAGAGGGACAGAAAAAGAGCCGCCAGAAAGAAGGATGCATGGGAAAGGCCTGATCCTGCATCCTGGGACTAAAACGTGTGACATTGCAGCTTAAACACTTGTCCCTTTCCTTCCCCAGCACCTCTGCTCAGAGCATCCTGCCTGATCCAGGTTCTCCCTTCTCCTGCCTGGAAAGTTCTCCCCAAACACACACCTGGGGGCTCCATCCCCTGGGAAGCCACAGAGCGACCTCATCCCTCCCTGCCCACGAGGAGATTTGGCGGAGCCGGGGTGAGAAAGGTCATGTTAGCCAAGCTCTGCTTGTAATGAAAGTTTTTTGATTAAAGATTTCACAAATGAAATAACTCCCCTCCTTGATTTTTTTGCTTGCTTGACCTCAGGGAGCTGCCAGCAGAACCCCTTTTGTCTCAAGCCTGCAGAAGCAGCCGGACCCTCCTGGCCTCCCGTGCCCCTTCTCCGTCACTCGCCGGCTGTGATTAAAATGGAAGACAACCATCAAGTGTGCTAGAACCATTTTAATATAATTATACATATCTGCCAAATCCAGGAAAAAAAAAAAAAAAGGTTTATGCATATATATCTTTTTTTTTTCTTTTTTTTCAGTTAACATCTGCAAGCATAAACGACAATGAATTTCTTGGTTTGAATTCATCCAGGTCAGAGCAACTGCCCAAAGTCCTGTCGGATTTGCCGGTTACTGCCGGCGTGGCCAGCAGTAAGTGAGCTCCAGAGGAGTTAAATGTCCTCAGGTGGGGTATTTTCGGTCTTTCCTCTTTCATTCAGAGACAGTTTGTTGTAAAAGTTTCAGTGCAGTTCACCTCGGGTGAAAGGCGATAGTGTTTTTTGCGTTTTTTCTTTTTATTTTCTTTTTTATTATTTTTTAAATATATATTTTTAATTACTTTTTTTTTTAAAGATGATAATAGGTAACTCAGTTGCTCTGAATTTCACTTATAATTATAACCTATTTAAATCACAGCAGAACTCCCGCTGGTGCAGAGTTCATAGTTGCATACAATACAGGAGATCACAGTTTTGAAGTCTAGCACAGATTAAAAACCACAGATGTACCATTTATATAAGACACACACTGATTGTCTCTTAAAAACTACATATTGACTCCTTATGAACATTATCTTTTTTTTTTCTTAATCTTTAAATAAAGTAGTGCAGCTAGGACAATCAGTCACACAACCCACACAGCCCTGAACCAAGTTCTCCGGGTGCCAACTTCAGCAAGTTGGGCATGAAACAGTTGGATGAGCTCGAGAGAGAGAGAAAGAAAGAGGGAGGGACAAAAAGAGAGAGAAAAAGAGAGATGTTGTCCATTCTGAATATTTTAACCGAGGGTTGGCTAACACATTGGAAACCTCTGGGTGAAGGATCATCTTTCCACGCACACACAAAAAAAGAAATAAAAACCTAGACTCTTTTTTTTTTTTTTTTTTCTTTAAAACTGGCCCGCAGGTGGGAAGATCTCCCACCTCTTCCAAACAAAGAAACCCAACAATTGGCTAAAACTAGAAAGAACACAGATGGGTCTGTCTGGTTTCTGCTCACTAGATGATCTGTCCGTTTAAGGCCTTCCTCCTCCGTTTTTCCTCTTTATTATTCCTTTTCCAGAGCGTCTGAGCAGGAGATGAGTCTGAACGGGATCACACCAACACTGTCCCCCTCTTGTTGCCATCAGTTTTTTTTTTTTTTGTTCATTTGTTTGTCCGTGGAGTTATTTTTCTCTTTAATTTAACCAAGACCTGACTAAAACTGGAGCGCTCAGCCCAGCCTGTTCGTTCTCGCCGCGGTTTCTCCGGGGTACCACAAAGGTTCTTCACAAAACCTGGAACTTCCATGACGACGTCTGGTCCTTATAATCCAAGCAGTCAGCATTGAAGTTTAACTTCCAGGAGGCCGTTTGGTCTTTATAATCCAAGCAATCGGTGGTGGAGTTAAAGCCCAAACTGGAGGCTCCATAGCCCTGGGTGGAGAGGGAGGCTGGAGACTGGTTGAGGTGGCTGGTGACCGCGTTGGCACCCATGGGACTCAGGGTGGCCCCCGGCCCGGGCAGCTGGTGGTGCATAGGGGTCAAGTAAGATCCACAGTCCATCCCTCCGAAATAGGAGGTCGATCCAGCGTATCCTTGGCTGTAGCCCGAAGCCTGGGTGTAGGTCATGGGATAGGATCTCTGCATGCAGGAGGAAGAGGTGGACAGCGGGTCAGAGAGCGGGGAGATGGACGCCGGGCTCCAGATGGACACGGGGGCGCTGCTGCTGGAAATGGTGGGGACGGAGGTGCTGGAGGGGGGAGTGAACTGCCCGCTGGTCCCGCTCTCCGAGCTCACTTCCCGGGCTGGAGAATTCTTCTTCTTAGCCGGCCGCACCTTGTTCTGGCCCCCGTTCTGCTGCTGCTGCTGCTGCTGCCGGCACTTGGCCCGGCGGTTCTTAAACCACACCTTGAGGCACAGACACGGAGGGAGGGAGAGAGAAAAAGCCGGGGTTAGGGATGGGCAAACCCGAGGTGGGGAAGGGATGGAGGCACGGAGACCCAAAACTGTCCCCCGCCAAGAGCAGAGGGCCGCAGGCTGCTGCACAGAAAAGCTCCGGGGCTCCCCCTCCCTGAGATCATTAGCAGTAATAACAAGTGGAAATCACAAATCAAACTCCGTAATAAGGTCACTTTTTGGGAGAGAAGGGGAAGCTCTTTGCTGTTTGCCAGCCGGGGACCCCCAGGAATCACTGTGTAAGACCTATTGAAGTCGAGCCCTTAATTAGAAACAATAGAACATGAGAAAAGGAGGGAACAATTAGGGAAGCAGAGGAACGGGATGGGGAGAGGGATAAAGATGTCTCATTAACCCTCCAAACAGGCTCTCTGCTCTCACCCCCTCGGTCAGAATTGGCCTCTCAGCAGGGCCCAAAGGGGCTGGCTGCTCTGGGGATGTTTTTTGGGGAGGAATATGGGGTTTGGGACAGGAGTATCCCGATCCCAGCCACCACGCTCCATGGGAACACGGCACCACACAGCCTCGGGAAGCCTCGTCAGAAGGCAAGGGGGAGTGAGAGGGATGGCTTTGGAGACGCCCTGCCCCTGCTGCTGGGGTGTTCTAGGTCCCAGAAGAGGCAGGAACATCCTGCCCTGCCAGCAGCACCTCCAAAATGCTGCCTGGATGGGATCATGCTGCAGAGCAGGCACAGCCCAGCCCCAGGAGAGGGGTTCTCTCCACCAAGGCAGCGCCTCTCTTATCCTCAGAGGGGCAGGAACCCCCCAGTCTGTACTGGTGTGAGCTGGGATCCCAGTCTGGCCCAGCTCCAGGGATGTGCTGATCCCTGGGGAAGCGGGGGGGATCCTTTGTGGCTTCTGCAGGGCCCCCAGATGTCCGCAGGACAGGCTGGGATTTGGGGGTGCTGGAGATGGATGTGAGCTGGGATCCAGGATCTGCGCATCACCCCTCAGTGCAGAGGGAGAAAGGGGGGCACACTCCAGCCCTGGGGGTGCAAAATGTCACCACATCCCCTCAGTGAACCCCCACCCCTCTCTGTGCCTCCTTCACCCCACCAGGGCTGGATTTGGCTCCAGGACTGGATCCATGCCCATAACCCATCCCCTGTCTGGCACAGGCCAGTCCCGGGTCCATTGGGTGTGGAGGGGCAGGGCAGGCAGGGCTCTCCGCGTCCTACCTGCACTCTGGACTCGGGCAGGTTGATTTTCAGGGCCACCTCCTCCCGCATGAAGATGTCGGGGTAGCGGGTCTTGNTGTGCGGGCACGGAAGGCGCTCATGCTGCCCCCGTTTACATAATTTTTTCTCTCCAGGCCACGAAGTTACCTTGATGAGCAGCTCGCTGCAGCAATCAGATTATAGCTCCCGAGGCAGATATTAAAATAACAGTTACAGTGCCGCGTCCCGCGTGTTGGCAAACTTGGGAGAAATGAAGGGGTCGGGGCAGCGGGGGGAGGGAGGGAAAGGGCCAGAAAAAGGGGTTTTGTGAGAAAAGAAGAAAAGAAAACCGCAGAGAAGCTTTAAACTAGTCTTTCGTTTGTAACCTTTTACAACCTTTATTTCCCGTATATGAAAAGCTCCTTTTATTGAGACCCAGAAAGAACTTTTTATTTTTTTTTTTGCCCTCCTCCCCCCACCAACCTTTGGATTTTTAATTAGAGCCCCTCAATTGCAGCCATATATATAGGAATCGATATAAAGTAATCCGTGGAGATGGGCTAAGGTTTTAATCGAAAATCTTCTTTGCCATTCTTTGCAGATCTTCTTTAGCCGCTGGCTGGTGGAGAAACAAATGTTCATTACAAAAATACCCCCCGAACCCCCCAGAGCAGCTTCCCCCCGACCAAACAAAGCCACAGAGCAGAAAGCTCGCAAAAGATCCCGAACCAACTGTTGTTACCATGAGAATAAGAAATTACTCCTGTGCTTAACTTCATCCTCCCTTGCAGGCAGGTATTTTTTCGTATTGAAAAAGTTTAACACCGGCTCCCAATACTACAGTGAATTTTTTTTTTTTCTTTTTTAAAAGGTGGCTGGGTGATGGTATTTTCCGTGCGGGAAGGGTCTGGCTTGTGCCGCGGGTGTCTGTCTGTCTGTCTGTCTGTCCGGCAACAAAGATCCCACACTTGTAACACCGCGCTGAAATCCACATCCCGTCCTCTTGCAGCTTCTCAGACTCACAAATATCGCACTTTCTTGAATTCTTTTTTCCCCCCCGCTTTCCCTTTTAATGTTTGGCTTCTTTCCCCTTTCTTTTATTATTTTTTCTTTTTTTTTTCTGCAAGTGCTTTATATTATATAAAATTTAACTCTTTGCTCCCCCGCCATGAAATATTTCTTTTCCTATGTAAAAAGAAAGGAAGAGAGAGAGAGAAAAAAAAAATCCCAACTTCCCCCAAAGCTCCCCCAAGCTTCCTTCTTTCTAAAGAACTGGGGCTGTTTTTCTCCAGGGGAAGGAGAAGGGGGTTGGAAGCTAAATATTAAACAATGCAGGCAGCTTCGGGTTTATTTTGGTAAATTAATTGTGAGGCTATTCTGGCTCCTATGAGTTTCTGCATGATTAAACCGTGCTATTTGCTCCCCAAAGCTGCACATTAGCAGAAAGTGCAAGTCTATTTTAAAGCATCATCCTCAGGTTTAATGCAAGCAAACTGGGCTGAGCGAAAAGTTTACCCGAGTAATTGCAACTAAGAGTCCGCTGTAGTTGTTTTAATCATTATTTTCTATCTGATAAGTGCTTTTTAAAGAACAGACCCCGCATTTTTTTTTAATCTGAAGGAAGCGAATCTGGTCGTATTTGTACCCCAACCTCGCGTCTTATCTGTATGAAATTTCAATTTATTTAAAAGCCTGGTATTTAATACACGACACGGGCCACATTTAGTTTAGACAAACCCCCTCTTGTACTTTCTCCGTAATCACGCCTAATGAAAAACGTGGGATTTTCCCATTATTAAAAAAAAAAAAAAAAANGACCCCACCGCACACACAGGCGATTTTAAAATAATCATAATTTAAAGAAAAAAAATATTTATAATTTTAATTTCCCTCTGCCTGCATTCCTGGCCGCCCGGCGATGCCCCCGAGGAAGGATGGAGCCAGCGGGTCGGACTTACCTGCGAGCCTCGCCGGAGCCGCGGGCAGGGCTGGGGGGCGAAGGGGGAAACCTGCTCCGGATCCTCGCCAAATTCCGAGCTGGGGCTGAGCTGGGAGAGAAAGCACAAAGCGGGAGGTTAGAGAGCTCGCCGCATGCACATGCCCACGACATCGGGGGGAAAGGGGGGGGCGGAGGGGGGGTGGAGAAAAAAAAATGTTTGAAAAAGGAGAATAAATGGGGAAAAAGGGGAGGGGACGGTGCGGGAGAGGGATGCGGGGATGCTCGGGGTCTGGGCTCGGTACATACAGAGCTGGCCGGTGCTGGAGCTGGTCAAAGTGATTTTATTTTTAATAATAGTGGCAGGGTGCGTTGGAGCTGAAGGTCTCTACCTCTCTCGGGGAGCTTTGCTGAGAAAGCGCCTCTCTGGCAACTTTTTGACGCAAACTCTCCAACCAATGGCAGGGAGAGAGTGATTGACACATCTAAGCCAGGGGGAAAATAATAAAAACACACACAGGGGGAGGAAAAAACAGGCCGCTGCTGTACCGGGGGGACAATCCAGAGAGAAATAACAGCCACCGAAATGACACCAGAATATACATTAAAAGAACCTGCTCGGTTTAAAAATATACATTATGGAGTGGAGCGGATGAAGTCATTGTGGAAATTAATGTGATGGACAGCAGAGATGGAATTAGCGAATTGCCCGGGGAGGGAGAGGAAGGGGGGTCAGCAAAAGGCTGGGGGGCGGCTGCAATAATAACAACAACACCAACAACAAAAGATATTAATGTATAGAAGTAAATATTTGCGAAGGGGGGACACGGAGCCTGGCAGGAGCCCTGGGCTGAGCGGCAGGAGATGGGAGAGAGGAAACCCGGGAGATCCAAGGGGAGAATCCCCCCAAGAACAGAGAATCCCCCCCAGCCGCACCCCAGTTCCACCTGCCAGGGCCGAGTCACCCCTGGAAAAGGGGAAATGCAGTCACCTGGAGGATGACTTAAATGCATTTTAAATTTTATTTGTAAAGATACACAGGGATGAGGGTGTGGAATGGGACTTAGCGGCGTCGCGTTGAATTTGCAGATGGGGACGTGCACATGTTTTTAATCGAAATAACTGGGGAGCGGTGACGGGCCCAGGGGGTTCCCGGTGCCAGGCACACCGGAGCATCGGGAACATTGTTGGGATGTTCCCCTCGCACCTCCCGTCCTCGCCCAACTTCTGCGGGGTCCCAGCGCCCCGAAAATGAAGCTCTGGCAAGAAGGCAGGAGGATGGAGGCGGCGGAGGTCGGAGGGAGGGAGCGCTCACAGACTTTCCTCACTTTGTGACAATGGGGGGAAAAAGCTGCAGCGCCTCGATCATTTTAACGGGGTGACCTATGTTAATGAAGTTATAGCAATTAATTCGCCTCTTTGTGGCTCTCCCTGAGCCTGGCTGCATGCGATCCAACGTGCTTGTCCTTGGACTTTGGCGCCCGGGTTTGCAGGAGCAGGTTTGGGATGCTCGGGGCTGGGCTGGGCGGATGATGGGTGGTGTGGCTTGGTTTTGGGTTG